GACCTTTGCGAAAAACTGGAAGAAATGCCGCTCGAAACTAATACCTTGACCCGTGGTCCATAATATATCAACTCTTATTAACACAACATCTTCAATTTCTCTTCCACACAATACGGTTCCTTGCAGATCAATAGCAATTCTGGCCCCTGACCTTTACATTTAAATTCTAATTCAATAGATAGGTTATGTTTTACACCATAACGGTGCACAGTCGATATAAAAGGACTTTGAAAATAAGAAATGTAAAATACCTGAGTCTGACATCAATTATACCAATATGCTTGTAAAATTATGTGAAAACATAATACAAACACACATCTTTCAGTATGTATGTACTACATAAGTGTCTTACACTAAATAATACAAAGTTATTATGGCCTGTGTGTACCTTGTGTGCAGCGACTACGTGGTTAAAGCCACGTTACTTGAATTATTGTTTTTACTGTGTTCTATTTATTGAAAAAAAAATATAAGAGTTACATACTTATCATAGGGGGAAGTTTAGAATGCGCGCTCATGATTATTAATACTAATATAGAATATCAAGAAGTACTCTAAGTCAGGGGTTCCCAGACTACGGCCCGCGGGCGCATACGGCCCCGCCACGCCCTTTGACCGGCCCTCCACCTCTCTGCACCTCACCATTTGAACTGGCCAAAGAAGAAGAAAAAAAAAAAAAAAAATTATAAAATATTTTTTTTAAATATTTTATTTTAGTTGGTCCACTTGTTTTGTGAAATAATAACATGACTCTCCAAACGAGGGGCGGTAATCGCTGTTCATTCCGTCACCTGAGATTAAACTCGAGGCCGTCAGTATGTAGTGGCCAGAGCGCTCTGGATGTGGCCATGAGCCAAACAGTGGAACTGTCAATCAGATCGCCAGCGCCTCTATCACGCTTTAAAAAGCAACGTTATGTAACGTTCTGGTTGACATCTGTTACATTTGCATCTTGTTTTTTTAACACACTAAAATATTTTTTTATTAACCATTTTATTTTATATAATTTAATATGTGTGTCTGTATTATTTATATGACGTATGTTTATGACCGAATTTCCGCCCACTTACAAGCTGATCGAAGTCATGCGCAGAAAATATTATGCTACAGTTGAACAGCAGTGTAATGGCGTGCAGTAAAGTGAGGAAAAATTGACAGAGTGTCGGGTTTTTAAAGAACAATGGACCAAGGATTATTTTTTTGTTCCATGGAAGACCGTGCCATTTGTATTATATGTAAAGAAAATGTGGCCGTGTTAAAGAATTCAACCTTCGCCGCCATCACGAAACCCGGCACAGAGAGTATGCTAGCTTGAGCGGCTAGGCGAGAGATGATAAGGTTCGGCGTCTGAAAGGCGGACTAGCTGTTCAACAGGATGCCTTCCTTCGTCAATCCCGGGTCACCTGGCTGCTGTCCGAGCTAGCTACAAAGTAGCTAACCTACTGGCTACCCACGGCAAGCCGTTCACAGACGGAGAATTCGGAAGGCCATGATGCTGGCTGTGGCCGAGGAGGTGTGTCCCGAGAAGACAGATGCCTTCCGTGGGGTGAGTCTCTCAGCACAAACGATGACGAGACGAATTGAGGAGATGGGGGGAAACGTGTTTGACCAACTGAGAGGAGAGAGCCGCAGAATTCAAGTGTTTTGCTTTAGCCATGGATGAAAGTAATGACGTACAGGACACGGCACAACTGTTGATTTTTATTCGTGGAGTCAACACACGTTTTGAAGTGTCAGAGGAGCTGGCATCACTGAGAAGCCTAAAAGGCACAACAACTGGAGAAGACCTTTTTGTCGAAGTGTGCAAAACAATGGGCGAACTTGGTCTGCAATGGGCTAATTTTGCCAGTGTCACTACAGATGGTGCGCCTAGCATGGTCGGATCTACGAGGGGTCTAGTAGGGCGCTTGAACGGCGAGTTCGAGGAACGAGGTCTCGCCCCACCGATTCAAGTCCACTGCCTGATTCACCAGCAAGCGCTGTGCTGCAAAGTTTTGAAGTGGGCGTCTGTGATGAAGGTGGTTGTGCACTGTGTCAACTACATCCGGAAAAATGGGCTGAAACACAGGCAGTTCCAGACCTTTCTCTCCGAGCTGGGGTCTGCTCACCAGGATGTGCTGTACTACACCGAAATCCGGTGGTTAAGTCGAGGCAAAGTATTGCGCCGTGTCTACGACCTGCTGCCCGAAATCAACAACTTCCTCCAGTCTAAAGGTGAAACGTTACGGGAGCTGACCGACCCGGAGTGGAAATGGGACCTCGCGTTTTTAACTGATGTGACTGAACTGTTGAACCACCTCAACCTACAGCTCCAAGGCAAAGGGAATCTCATCAGCGACATGTATTCCCACATAAAAGCATTCGAGGTCAAACTGCAGCTCCTTGTGCGACAGGTCCAAAGCTGGACTTCACACATCTCCCTGCCACCCAAAGCTACTGCGCCGAGAAACCAGCCGCCCCTTTCCCAGTCGCGAAGTGCAAAGATGCCCTGGAGATGCTGCAGCGAGAGTTCAGTGTGCGCTTCCGCGAGCTTCATGTCAACAACAAAGACATAAGTCTGTTCCAGAACCCCTTTGCTGCTGACATTGACGATGCACTTCCCTCTCTTCAGTTTGAACTAGCCGAGCTGCAGAATTGTGATGTCCTTAAAGACGCATTCAAGCCTGACCACCTCCTTGAGTTCTATGCTGAGCTACCAGAGGGCACTTACCCAAACATTAAACAACATGCTCTGAAGATGTGTACCGTTTTTGGCAGCACCTACACCTGCGAGCAGACGTTTTCCCGCATGAAGCAAATAAAAAATCCAACGAGGAACAGACTCTCAGATGAACATTTGCATCAAACTTTGAGACTGGCAACCACTAGGCTACACCCAGACATCGGACTTCTCACCAGCCAGAAGCAAGCACACAGTTCACACTGATATGGTAAATATACTGATTTTAACTATTACAATTTTATATGGCTGTAAACATGAACTATGATTTTTTGATGAAATATGATTAATGTTTTTAATGAATTTTAATGAATAATGCTACACTGTATTTGTAAAATCACATCACAAGGAACAACAGGCAGCATATTTATGTAATTTACTGAATGTGTCCAATGTCATCACTTTATGCCAGGTTTCCAGGCAGCAAGAGAGGGGACTGCAACTGCTGACCTCAAAGATCACTGCCCATCCATCCTTCCTTCCACCCTGGCTACAAGTACCAATTCAGTTCACCTACTGCACATATTGCTGACTTCCCATTCTGTTACTCTCTTCTAGTTTAACCTGCCGAGGGTTTAGTGCTCAGTCTCTCCTCCCAATCTCTTCTCTCAGCATCTGCCTCTCCATCGTTGTCTCTCTCTCTCCCTCTCTCTCCTCTCTCTCCTCTTTCTCCTCTTTATGCACTGCCCCTCATCTCAATCTCCTATTTCAAAGGGATGATAATTGTGCTGTAAAAGTGTTTGGGTGCTCATTGCATTTTCACCTTGAACAAAAAAAATCTCACCTGAATATACAAATAAGAGTTGGTTAGTTGATATATTGTTCACCAAGTTTCTTGTTCTGATGATTTCTCATCTCACTGTAATATAGGCCTACCATTTCTATTGTATCACTCATAAACTGTCAATCACCATGTTTTTCTAACCTTTCCTTGCTATTTTTACATGGTTGTTATTAGAAAATAAAAGGAATACCTGTGGTATTTCAAATTGAAAAACATGTGAAGTCCCCACTTCTTTTGCAAATCACTTGTAATGATGAACTATTTTGTGCTAGAAATTATGGCTATAACAGGCAGTGGCCTAGTATACAGCCCACATGATCGATCCCGGCCCCTCATCACAGTCAGGAACGATAATGTGGCCCCCAGAGAAAAAAGTTTGGGGACCCCTGGTTTAAAAGATAAGCAGTGCATCAGAACAGACAGCAGGCAGCAGCAGGGCTCAGGGAGGAATTATCGCCTTGTAAGTGGATTCATTACATCATTTATAAAATTGTACAAGATGAATTTCTCTACAAGGAAATGGAAAAAGCTAAGACTTGTTGTTCAACAAACTGCCTGTGAGTCTGTTCAAATAAAAATTGATTTGCACTTCATTTGTAATCATCTTCTTTCCTCTTTTCCCTGTCCTTGTTATTTCCTAATAATTGTTTTATACTTACTTATATTTATCAGTTTTTTAGTTTTCACTGAATGCCGTAATTTGATCAGATAATTTCCTCTCTGCTTTGGCTTTTCTACCTGATCTTCCTTTTCCATTCCAATTAGCCTTACCCTCTGCTTTTCATTTTAATGTTTTAATGTGTTTCTCTTATTGTATTATTTATTATTTAATTGTTCAATCTCACACCATATTTTAGTTTGTACACTGAACTATAGAAGGAATGTTTTTAAATATATATCCTTTATTTAACCAGGTAAAAGACTCATTGAGAATAAAATCTCTTTTCCAAGAGTGACCTGGCCAAGAAGGGCAGCATGTACAAAGTTACAACAGATAAAACAAAGACATGACAGGCAGACAAATACAGCTGTAAAACACAAATAAAATGGCACAATAGCCAGTCAATATGCGAAGAAATGGCTGTTTTTAAAATTCAAATGATAGGAAAATAATAGACATTTGTGTACAGTTGTAGTCCACTCTACAGTATTGTTTTTATTAGATCTTATTCTGTTATTTTCTGTTATCTTTTCTTAATCTTATTCTATGTTGCATGTATGTAGTTTATGTGTTTCGGCACTATCTTGCACATTGGTCACTTGCAACATTCTCTTACACTGTCATATTTATTTTGCATTGTTTTTTAATTTAGTTATTCGTTGCCCTATGTTGTATTGTTGGAGGAGTATGCGCCAGAACTCTACTGTCACTATTGTGCATATGACTAAAAAAGCCTTGGAATCTTCAAATCATGAATCTTTAAAATAAAGGTAGGACAAAACCCAATCCAGTGTTTCTTTTTGATTGGCTCTAATGCCCCATTCTCCTCCAATCAGGATGGGCGTCTCCGCACAGGTGACCACATACTGTGCATCGGGGCGACGCCCACTAGCGGCCTCACAAGCGACCAGGTCGTCAACGTGCTGCAGGGCTGTGGGAGTCATGTGACGTTGCTCATCTCCAGGGATCCACAGGGTCAAAAGTCAACAGCCCCGCCTCCTCCACCCCCTCCTGCCTCGGCCCCGGTCTCCTCCTTACCCCCACGCCCCCCTGGCATACCCCCCCAACGCCGGCTCAGCAAGACGGTGAGCAGTCCAAAGAACCATCACGTTGGAACAATTTCAGTTAAGTTTAGTTTGAAGTTGTACAATTATTTCAGAGGAGAACTTTGTGCTGGACAAAGACACAAAAGCAGATTTTATTTTGTTTGTGATCTGCTGCTGTCTTAGGAGACAGTGCAATCTCAAATATATACTGTATATGGACTCTATGTTTGTGTTACAGCCTAACCTGGAGGGGTATGAAATCCATGAGGTTCCCCTAACCAAGAATGACGGCCAAAGCCTTGGAATCTCCATCATCGGCTACAACACCCTGACCAGCCAAGGTAGGACAGGAGAGAGAGAGCAGTTAAAGCATACCATATCCGGTGAAACTCAATTCACATACACCAATGCAACAACCAGCTTAGGCAGGACACATATACACACTGCTATTGAACATCCATTCAAACAAACCTACTACTCCCGTTGTGGCAAACTCCCATGTAAAATTTGTCTTATCTAGTACTAGGCATTTCATTCTAGCTCAAATATGTCACTGTTCAGGTGCCCCTGTCGAAAAGCTGAACGCAGGTGGCGAACCACAAATCTTCAGGTTCATTTTGAATTCTGTAAAGAGACACTTGGCTTTTTATAATTTGGAATTGAAAAATGTACGACAGTCTTCCTTCTCTGACATAATTGCCAAAAACAACGCACGTGCCTTGTTTGCTACCGTCGACAGACTAACTAACCCCCCAGTATCAGTAGCCTCTGAATTTCTATCCACCAGGGCCTGCAATGAATTTGCCTCCTTCTTCACTGACAAAATTCAGAAAATCAGCCAAGCAGTCATTGCCTCTGTATCAGGCTCAGCAAATGTGTTGTCCCTGTTTCCACTTAAAATAAATTCAACACCATGACACAATTCCATCTTATTAATAATAAAAACCTTGAAGACATTATACAACATCTGAAATCCTCCTCATGCTGCCTTGATATTATGCCAACAGGCTTTTTCAAAAATGTTTTTCATTGCATGGCCTCAGATCTCCTACGTATTTCTACAGTCCCTGAAAACTGCAGTCATTAAACCGCTCTTAAAAAAAAAAAAGATTTAGACTAGGGGTCTCCAACCTTTTTTAGGATGAGAGCTACTTTAAAAAAATAAAAAAAGTTTATTGCGGTGTATATATTTAGCACATTTTAACATTATTATATGCTTACCTTTGTGTGCTGTTTGGATCTGTGGGACCCATTTTCAGTGTTTACTAAAAGAAAATGTATGCAGTTTAATTATTTTAACCTGCTTTATTTGGGGGTGGACCTCACATACTCTAGGGGGGTCCGTGGGCATGCTCCCCCGGGACACATTTTCACCTATCATGCTATTTTTAGGCAATAGCATAGGTCTCAGATATATAAAAATATATAACAAATATGTCTATGAAGTGTTTTGCTCAAAATACCAAACAGATCACCCATTCTAGCCATGCCGCATATCCCTCTATTTCACTTCCTGTTTCAAAAGTGCTGATTTTGGGTATAAAGCTTTAAAAAAAAAAAAATTGATACAAAAGAGGGGTGGAGCTTATGCCGGCTCATGCGGGAGATTCTACCGGCAGATACTTCCGTGATGAAACGCCATATCATGGATGATCAAGGATTATTTCTGAAACAGTATGGAGCTCAAAGGCTTTCTCTCTTGCCGGTTATACCACAAGGTGAGTTTCTTTTTATTTCCTGCTTCGTCACACACATGCTCTCTCCAGTACAGGTTAGCTCTGAGTGTTAGCAATGCTAATGTAAACACAGACCATATTACGTCCAAAACAGTCGGGCATTGTTTCTGATAGCAACGTTTCTGATAGTGCTGCTGTGGGTCTGCATTGCCGATATGACGTCATATCGGACGCAAATCTGGATCAGCTCCGTTGTACCCTCGTTTTTTAGAGATCTGGGTACGGAGGAAAAGAGAGAAGGTTTTATTTTCTGACGCTGCGTGAGTTCCCCGACACACCAGGGACACATATTTACCGTAATTTTCGGACTATAAGCCGCGCCTTTTCCCCTATTTTTAGACGCTGCGTCTTATATAACGGTGCGGCTAATCTATGGATTTTTACAGCTAACGGCCAACACCTTTAACTCTATGGGCTCTATGGCCGGTCCGCGGACCCCCACCTTTAAGCGGCGGGTTCCAGCAGGAAAAGCTGGAGGCGGCAAAGGTGAGACGGTAGCGGGCAAAAGTAAAAGTTGAACCCGGAGAGTGGTATGCCGCTGCTTGCGGCTTATATTCAGTGCGCCTATAGTCCGAAAATTACGTATGTCCACTTCTGGGACCTATCATGCAAAATGCACTTTCCATCAGATTCCATCCGACCAGACGTCAGCCCGGAACTAGTGAGGCGTGACGCCGCCACATGGGCAACGCTCTCCACCTTATTGCAGACCATGGGGACCAGGGGACACATAATTTGGAAGCTGTAAGGTTTTCCATGTTGAATATTTTGCATTCCTTTTTATTTAGCGTGTTTTCCTGAAAATTGATGCCGTGCTCGTAGCTGTAGCATGTAGGATGAGACAGTGATTGTTGATTTCGCAGTCTTTATTACTTGTTGCAAACATGAATACACGATATGTGTGGACGTGTGCCCGAGCTTTAGGTAACAACAGTTTGTGTATGTGTGCGTAATTGTTGGAAGGAGGGGCGAAAACACACCGTGCACTTTGGACTTTAATTTTTTTCATTGGATTTTATATTCTAATGACACATTATTTTTCAAGAACTTTTATTTCATAATGAACATTCATTTATTTCAACGAGGCTTGTATTTCAAAATAGTCACTTTAGGCTCAGCGTAGTGCTTGTTACAAACTTTCCATTTCTCCAGTCTCGCCATAACTGTTAGTTATGGCTCAGGTTAATCTAGCTCCCTTCCGACGTGAGCGTGGTTCTTGGTTCATGCTGGCAGCCAAAGTGGGGTCAGCTAGAAACCGGTTTTCTGGATGTTTGGAGACGGCGCGCTCGGCTGGGCCGAAACAGGAGAACAAGAGCTAAATCAGGCTAGCCCGGAACTGGCTTGGAACGGTTGGTGGAAAAGGGGCAGACCAGTTAATCCCCAGAAAAGCACAAGAACGGTTTCTTGAAACTGAACCGGTTTGGTTTATTGGCCAGTTGCAAACCACTTAGAGTACTGGGCTATTGAATGATATTGAGTCAGTGTTGTGGTGCTGTTGCTTGGTCTGGATCTGTGGTCACATGTATACTATTTATTGGGCCTCATTTTTTATTTCAGAATTTATTTTATAGGACCTATTTACTACTAACAGTGGGGAAAAAAAAGATTTTTAGTCAGCCCCATTGTGCACATTCTCCCACTTAAAAATGAAGAGAGGAGGCCTGTCATTTTCATCCTAGGTTATACCTTCAACCTATGCGAGACAAAATGAGAAAAAATCCAGAAAATCACATTGTTGATTTTTAAAGATTTATTTGCAAATGATTTTGGTTGGAAAAATAAATATTTGGTCATACACAAAAGTTCATCTCAGGGGTCCTTTGTTATATACCCTTTGTGTGCAATGACAGAGTCAAAGTTTTCTGGTAAAGTCTTCACAAGGTTTTTTCACACACTGTTGCTGGTATTTGGCCATTCCTCCATGCAGATCTCCTTTGGGCAGTGATTTTTGCGGCGCTGTCGCTGGGCAACCCAGACTTTCCAACCCCTCCAGATTTTCTATGGGGTTGAGTCTGGACACTGGCTGGCCCTCTAGGACCTTGAAATGCTTCTACGAAGCCACTCCCTTCGTTGCCCGGGCGGTGTGTTTGGGTCCATTGTCATGCTGAAAGACCAGCCGTTTCATCTCAATGCCCTTGCTGATGGAAGGAGGTTGTCACTCAAAATCTCACCGATCCATGGCCCCATTCATTCTTTCCTTTCACGGGATCAGTGTCCTGTCCCTTGCAGAAAAAAGCCCAAAGCATGAGATGTTTCCCCCCCATGTTTCACGTAGGTATGGTGTTCCTATTGGATGCCATCGCATTCTTTTCTCCTCCAAACAGTCAGTTGAGATTTTACCAAAAAGTTATATTTTGGTTTCATCTGCCATATGACATTCTCCCATCCTTCTTCTGGATCTCTAAATGCTCTCTAGCAACTTCAGACGGGCCTGGACATGTACTGGCTTAGCAGGTGGACACGTCTGGCATGCAGGATTTGAGTCCCTGGCGGCGTTAGTGTGTTACTGATGGTAGCCTTTGTTTCCTTTGGTCCAGCTTCTCTGCATGTCATTTGACTAGGTCCCCCCCGTGTGGTTCTGGGATTTCTTGCTCACCGTTTTGATCTTTGACACCCACGGGGTGAGATCTTGCGGGAGCCCCAGATCGAGGGAAGATTTATCAGTTGTACTTTGTATGTCTTCCATTTTCGGTAATAATTGCTCCCGCAGTTGATTTCTCTACACCAAGCTGGCTTACTATTGCAGATTTCAGTCTTCCCAGGCCTGGCTGCAGTTCCAATTTTGTTTCTGGTGTCCTTTGACAGCTTCTTTGGTTCTTGGCCAAGTGGATTTGGAGTGTGGGACTGTTTGAGGTTGTGGAAGCTGTACTTTCTATATGATACGCTTCAACAGGGTGCCTATTAATA